GATTTACTGCGTTGCTGGGCCGGCTTTCTCCTCACCAGGCGGGTGGACCCATATCTGTAAGCTCCACCCAGCTCTGACACTCTGATTCACTGGGGCCACAGGAAAAATGATCTGCTAAGAGCCTTCCTTCTCTTTTTCTGTTTTGTGTAACAGAGAAGCCGAGAGGAGAAATGAGGATGTAAAGCGAAGGAACAGCCCAGGGATGGACGGGCCCGGGAGGCGGCCTGCCCAGGCCAGGTGGGGAAGGCGTCCTGATGCCCCTCTCCTCCCCGGGCAGCGTCCCCGCGCTCCTGCGTGCTCCTCAGAAAAGAAGGAGGCTTTTCCCTCTATGGTGACATCACGCACACCCAGGGCTTGAGTCTTCCAGACCCGGGACCCGGCCTCTGAGACCTGGAAGTCCTCGTCCCACCCAGCAGGTCGCCTGCCACCTGAGTCTCCCCAGGTGCAGCGTTTCTGACTTCCAGGGTTAGGGGTCTGTGAGCACAAGGCTAGTGTGACATCCAACAGAGAAGGAAAGAAAAGGGCTGCCGGGACGCAGAAGACAAGTGAAAAGCACTAGACTCCCCTGTCCCAGGAGACTGCCACGCGTCAATGGAAGGGAGGTCTCTCTCCGTAAGCTCCCTCGGGTGCCCCAAATTCCGCCTCGTTTTAATTTGCTTCAGGTTTAGACTTTGACTTTCATGCACAACTATTTGTTTCTCCCAGAGTTAGTAATACCTTCCTTTTACTTTTACGTATTTTGTTGTACATAGGAAATAGACTTTTAAAAAAGCACAAACTGGTTACAGCAAAAATCCACCTCCCTTTTTTGTCCCTATTCCGACACCAGCGGGTGCCTGCACTTCAACTCCAATACCAGCCACCCCAAGTTAGGTTCAGACCCCACAGGCTTGGGGCTCAGTCCCCCAAAGACTGCCCCACTTCAGATGCCAGCCACCAGTGGGGCCCCAGGGCCACCCACACTTGTGACAAACTGGCTACAAATCTGGGGGTCCCCACGACCCCCTTGGGTTTGATAATTGACCAGAACGACTCACAGAACTCAGGAAAGTGCTGTCCTCAGGATTATATTTTTATAGTAAAGGACACAAGCCAGGACCAGCCAAACGGAAAGACACACAGGGCGAGGTCTGGGTGGGTCCCCAGTGCAGGGCTGCATGCCCCTCCCAGTGGAATTGGGCGAGTCACCGTCCCGGCACACCAGAGGGTTCATCAGCCGGGAGGTGCCACTGAGCTTCAGTGTCCAGAGTTCTTACTGGTGTTTCAGTACACAGCAAGGTTGATTGACTGGCCATGACTGAACCCCACCTCCAACCCCAGCCTTCCCCGGGGGTCAGAGGTGGGGCTGATAATGCCCGGGTCAAAGCCCCAACGCTCTAATCACACGACCATTTATTTACTGTATGAAAACATTCTCCCATAACTTACTCAAATGTTTTCACAGTTTTGTTTCTTAATCCATCTGGAGTTTCCTCTGGCGTAAGGTGTATCCCAAGACCGTGGATGGAAGAGCCCTTTGTTAGATACAGCACTTCATCAGATCTTAAGGCCAGTTTGTGAAAAGCTCCCTCTGGGGTCAAACGCAGAACAGCTGGGTGGTCCGAGGGGCACAGGCACACCGGTCAGGATGGACTGACTGACTTGCTGTGTCGTGAGGAGGATGCAGCTTGGGGCAGGTGGTGGTGGTGGAGATGGAGAGAAGTAGACCATTTCAGAGATATTTAGGAGCCAAAATCAAAAGGATTGGTAACAAATTAGATTGGGGGCCTTAGGGAGAGGCAGGTGCTAAGAAGACCCGGTTTCTAGGTTGTGTAACAGGTGGTGGTGGGCCTGCAGACACAAGACAGCTGGATGTTTGTTAGGGATCCAGAGACCCCATAGCTGAGAAGGAAAGCCAGGTTGCATGGGGTCTGGAAGGCTCCGACCCACCCCTCTCCGGCTCCTTTGCTCTCTCTGAGGTTCCGTGCTCCATTCTCCTCTCTTCCTACTGGCTCCTCATCAAGGCCCTGGGGTCCCACTCCCAACAAGAGCAGTGGCCCAGCCCAGCTTACCGACCGGCTCCTCTGAAACTGGGTGTCCCTCTCTTTCCAATCAGCTGGGCCAAGGGGCTGGGCTCCGTGGGGTCGCCACTTCTGCACTGTGCACTCAGTAGACTCTAATGGGAGGGGGAAATTATCACCGCTGTGCTTTTTCAAGTGGGAATTTCATTCAGGTTCTAGTAAGACACGCTAACAATAGCAATGGGTTAAACCTGGTGGAAATCGATTTTTCTCTTATATTAAAAGAAGGCCAAAAGTCGACAGTTCCAGGCTGGTGTGGAAGCTCCATGAAGGGATCAGGATCGAGACTCCTGGGTTCTTGCTCGGCATCTGCTCTGTGCTTTCCAGCCTCAAGGCTGCCTCAGGGTCAAGGATGCCTGTGGGAGTTCCAGCCATCAGATCTGCATTCCAGGGAGAAAGCCAGAAGAACAAAGGAAAGTCAAGAAGGACCCGTGGCAGTTCTTTTCCCACTTTTAGTGAGTTTTTCAGAAGTCCCACCCAACTCCTTCTGCTTACATCTCACTGGCCAGAACTTAGTCTCGTGGCCATACCTGGTAGCAAGGGAACTGGGAACAGGAGTCTTCGAGCTGAGCTCACTGCTGCCCTGATTAAAAATAAAGCCCCAAACTCATGCATGTGAGCAAACGACTAAATCCTCCTGAGGCTCAGTCTCCTGTCTTTAGTGTGGGGATCCTGTGCGAGTGAAATGTGAATATGTACACAACGCACAGATTCTGGTACACAGCAAGCCCTCAGTAAATGCAACAGTCGGTTATTATTTACTAAAACCAAGCCCCATTCTTCGAGCTCTGATGACACAGCTGGGGACCAAGTGCTGGGCAGCAGGGCCACGAAGGTGACTGGAGGTTTAGGGCATGGAGGAACTGAGCAAAGAAACACTTCCAGGAAAACAGGAGCCAGGTTTTGGAGAAGAGATTTATTAATATCAGAAAGGGAGCAGGTTAGCGAGAACCTGAGGTGCTGGATTGGTGTTGGAGTTATCGGCATCAAATCCATCTAGAAACAGCCATCGAGATGTGTGTGTGTGCATCCAGGTGAGAGTGTCTGTGTATACTGGTCTATCCATATGTTTCCTTGTCTGTCCACTGAGAGAGCCTGGGAGAGTGACACCCAGTAGCAGTAAATAGTGAGTACCCTGTCAAATAAAAATGGCAAGTAATAGGATATATTGGAATATATGAGGAAGCCATTTTGGTGTAAACCTAATTTGGCCTGACCTTGTCTTTCCAAAAGGCCCTGACCGAGGCCATTGAGCATGCATTGTATATCTGCTTTAGAGATTCCCTATGGCAAGAGCAAAAGGCCCTTGAGATAAAGGTGCAACTTCCCTCCTCCTCCCAACGTTGGCGTCTCCTTAAGGATTAAGCATCTTTCCTTAGGCTAGAAACTGATTGCTGCGCTCACCTGTGACCGCCCAGCTCGAGGCAACAGACTTGCCTCCTGCTACGCCCTCCAAGATAGCAGACCCACTACCTGCTGTGTCCATCAAGTGCTGTGCTGACAGGGCAATCTTGTGACTATTGTAGGAGGGACATTTCAATCATGTGTGAAACACCCTCTTTGAGGGTATATAACCGCCCTATGTACCCCCACTTCTTTGGAGTGCTCTGTTCCTTTGTGGAAAGACTCCCGGGTTATAATCCTCAGATTTCAGCTCAGAATAAACTCACCCAAATTTTCATTTACAGATTGGTTATGGATTATTTTCGTCTACAACCCCAAACCCAGCTCCCAAATACTCTTCTCCACTAAGAGGTACCAGGGCTCCTTAAAGGGAGGGCTAATCCAGGATGGGGCAGGGATTACACGACGATCCTGGGACATCCTCCCACCCCTCCTTTCCTCCTCCTTTCTCTTCCTCTTCCTCCTCTTCTCTCTTTCATCTCTCCCCCTGCCCTCATTTCCCTCTAAATACTCCCCGCTTTCATCCTCAACGGGCTAGCATTGTTTCAGGGACCATGCACTCAAAATCAAACAAGACAGAGTAAGTACCTTCTGTGCACTCACAGAAAATGGGGATCAGGTGAAATTGCAGGCAATTATTCAGATTATTTGGAGGAAATTTAAAAAGTATTTTCCTCACTGTACCAAAAATACTTATCCTTCTTTCTCCACCCAAACTCTGCCCCTTCAGCCTGCAGCTGGGTGGGGAGGGGCCACCCAGGAGGGCGACCCAGGTGGGCAAGGAGTGGTGTGGGTGGAGACCAGCAACCCAAGGAGCCTGCACCCTAGCTGCTTTTCATATTGGAATTTCCATGAGACTCATTTGAAAGAAAAGGATGCCCTGCTGATTTTTTAGGGCAGTGTCCTGTTAAAATGTAAATATGACACAATTCATCAGCCCCTTTCACTACACACAGCTTATGCGGAGGGGCGGATAAGGAGGGAAGGACCAGGCTAGTGGAAGGGTTCAGGGCGATGGAGAGTGCGTGGGGGGATGGGGCAGGCCCGGGGAGGAGGAAGGGCAGGTGTCCCCACTGGAGCCTGGAAAGGAGGCCTTCCGGGAGGCGTGACCAGTACCAGGGGCTTCTCAGGGACCCCAAGGAGGACACTCTCTCTGCCTGTTGTAGCAGCTTTGAGAACAAGGCCCGCAGGGGCCAAGTGGCCTGCGCAAACTCAGCCCGTTACCTGCAGGGGAGAGTACGCGCCCAGGGCTTGTGCAGAGCCCGCTCTAGCTCACGCCGGCTGTCTGCACCGACGCTGAGCCAGCAGACGCGGCAGGGCCGGGGGTGTGGGACCCAGGCGGGCGTGGGGACCGAGGGGTGGGACCGGGATGGGGGTGCAAACCAGGGACTAGGGATGGGGACTGGGGCTGGGGCGGGGGAGGAGGCCATGCCCAGCCTGGCGGAGGCAGCTGCGCGCACCTGGCCGCGGACCCAGGTGCAGCACCTGCAGGGCGGGCGCCGTCTCCAGGGCGACGCGGCGGCAGCCTCGGCACGCCCCTCCCCGCGGGGTGCGCAGCGGCCGGCCGGCGCGGAGAAGCCGGCTGCGAGGCATGGGGCCCGCGCTGCTGCCCGCGGCCCTGCTGGCCCTGCTGGCGTGGCCGGCGCCGGCCCGGGGCGCCCGGGACCCCGACGTGCTTTGCGGAGGTGAGTGCGCGCGGGGCCCCAGCGCGGGCCCGGCGCTTCGGAGGCGCCGCCACCCCCTCCCCACGGGGGCCAGCCCCCTTCCCTCCGCCACCCCGCCCCCAAGCGGGAGGCCCTCTGGTTCCCGCGCAGCCCCGCCGGCCCAGGCCTGGGGCTGTATATCGCCTCGGCTCTGGGGCCTAGGGCAGTCACTTCACCTCCCTGAGCCTCGTTTGTGGGGTGGGCGTGGGGGCGCTGGCTCAGCGGTGGGGGTCAGGCTGGCACGCCTGCCCTGGACCACTTTGGTGGCTTCTCTCGTTGGGCTGTTAGTTCCTGGTACCAGTTAGTTACCACTGATTTAAATAAATGCGCTCCTGTTCTGGCTGTAATTTGCCCTTTGGACGATAGAATCCACAGGTGGTTTTTAGTCTCTTTTGTCATGTAGAGGACAAAAGGCAGAAGGGGCATTCTTTCAGTGACGCGGAGGTAATGAGCAGGATTAGTGAGAATAGGGCGATGCAAGTGAGGAGCTCAGGTCTGAACAGAGAAGGCCCATTGTGGTGGGGACAGGGTACACGTAGGGAAGACAGAAGCCTTGAGGTGTCAGGTCGGCTCAGGACTCACAGTTGAGTCTGCTCTGCGTTTGCTTCTGCAGCTCAGTGGCCCCATCGCATGGTCCCTGGGTCTCCAGGTGGACACAGGCCAGCTGTGCCTGTTCGAGCTCCATCTGAGCAGTCAGAGGCCACTGCTCTGACCGGTGCTGGCTTCCCTGGCCTAGCTCTGGGACTGGGTGGGGGAGGGAGGGCTGCAGGTGCACCATGCGGGGTCAAGGGCTGGGGACAGGGTGGGGACAGAGGGTGGGGCTGGGAGCCCACAGAGACCCGGTGAACCAAGGGTGGAGAGGGGACATGGGGTGTGGGGTCGAGGTGGGGGTGGTATGGAGGAGGCGTGTGGGTCAGGTCCTCTGCTCAGAGCGCCCATCACCTCGCTGTGGTGTCAGCCAAGCCTTTTCCACGTAGCCTCAGAGTTGGGCCCCACCCCACCCACTCGTATAACCAGCAGGCACGCCTGGGGTGCGGTGATTCGAGATGAAGTGAAAGATCCCCTGACCCAAGGTATGTCGTCCTTTGTCCAGACCCCGTGCCTGAGGTCATTTCCTTAATTGAAAGCTTCAATTCCAGAAAGGTCCTGCTAAGATGCAAACATGTAACCCAGCCAGGGGGCCCACTGTACTTCTTGGGGAGACAAGAGGATAGCTTGTCAGATGATCTAGGGCAGAGTAGGGTTCTGAGTGGGGGGGCGCGGGATGAGGAGGTTCTGACAAAAAGAAAGAAGGTCTGGAGCTGTGGTTTTCAAAATTGTTTTTGGCAATAGATCCCTCTCTTCAAATAAAATCGTACACACAAGCAGGATGTGAAGATCAGACAAATCCGGGCGCCTGGCCTGCTCCAGGCCCTCCAGACGGGGTGTGTGTCCCACACGGCATGCTCTGCAAGAAGGCGAGGAGCCCCAGAACTGGGAGGGAAATCAGAGAGCTGTGGTTAAGTATATTTCATCTTGAAACTCTACATAGTATATAAAAGTGTTTTAGAAGATATGTATAAAATTTTAAATAGACATATATCCGAGGTACTCAGATTTTTGACTTAATGAGTTTTGAACACACTGGGCGCAGGGCTGGGGCAAGCCAGGTGGTGCAGAAACAAAAGCTTGGAGGAGTAGCATAGAGGGTCAGGACACTGGTCTCACGGCCCTGGGGGTAGTTGTGGGAGGTGGAGAGGGTGAGCTGAAAAGAGAAACTGAGGCACCAGGAAGCGGGTGCAGTGGACATCACTGCTTCAGCAGGCCATCCCCGGCTCCGCTGGGGAAAACTGGCCCTCTCACGGAGTGCGTCCCTCTCTTTTTCTCTCTCATTCTGTGTCTCTCTTTTAAAGGCTCTTTCAGAGTGTCTCCTTCCGTTTGAAGCAAACTCCTGTAGGGAACCTGGGAGGGGATGTCCCCTCGATTTGGTTGAATCCTGTTTCTCTCGAACAAATGGCCTGAACACTGACAGCAGATGCAACGCAGCTGCTCCGTGTGCTGAAGCGATTCTCCTAAGTCTACTTTACGAAGTAGAATTCAGAGACCTTTACCCACCCAGGAGGGAAAGGGAGCAACCTGCCTGCCCTCATTCGAGGAGTAACATTGGGAATAAAATGTATGAAATCAGCCTTCTTTGCCACTTTCCCACTAATCGTCATTTTTCGCTGAGAAGGGGCTGTTTGCGGAGCAGACTGTTCCGGACATGGTTCCTCTCCTGGAACCTTGGGATTGGAGACCTTGCCTCCGCGACCCTTCCTTCTATGGAGTTAGGCTGTTCTTGGTAGGCCCTGTGGGAGAGGCTAATAGGATTGATAACTGAAATCGTATCTCGCTTTTGCGTCCAGCGTGTATATCGCACTGGTGAAGTGGTTTGCATGGATAGCCTCACTCAGGCCTCTCACAGCCCTCTGAGGTGGTGGGCCACCAACCTGTGGGTACCCTGCTGATCCCCTAGGCCTCACCTGGCTCCTGTGACATAGAAAACATGCAAACAATTGGGCATGTCTGTGTTCCAATAAAGCTTTATTTATAAAATCTGGTGGCGGGCCGGATGTGCTCTGTGGGCTGTAGTTTGCCCAGCCCTGCTCTGTGTAGTCTCCTGGGTCCTCAAAGGGCTGAACCCCTGCTGCCCACCTTTATGCATCCTCTTTCCTCACCTCTCCACTCTCCTTCCTTCTCCTTTTCGGGGGTGGAGGGGGACTCAATCTAAGACAGGTAGCCAGAATTGTTACCCTCATCTGACAGATGAGAAAATTGAAGCAGAACAAAGGCAGTGCCCTTGGGCACTAGCAGGGGCAGTGCCCAGGCCCAGCCCGGCACCCTGGCTCTGCAGTCTAGCTTCTTCACCATGGTGCCATCTTGCATCTCTCAATGGTTCAATCAACCAACAAACATTTGGACCTTTGAGCAACTCTAGGTGCTATGGAGATAGAAATTGTGAATCGAGGGGAGAGAAGCTGTAGAAAAAACAAGGTGCAGTAGCACATTGACAAGTGTCAGAGGGATGGGGAAACGAAAAGGGTTGCATTGAGGGGAGGGAAGAATCCGTGCCTCTCCCGCCATGACTTCCGTATTGCCACATCCGGTGGACCATGCTTGACGTCTCTGCGGGGCTGGCAGAGCTGACCCTCCTGACCTGCAAACACTCTCTTGGTGTCTTTGCTGCCACGCTCTCCTGGTCTTCTCGGGAGCCCCCACTGCTCCTCGTCCAGTCTCCCTTGCTGGATCTCCTCCTCTTCTACCTCTCAGTGTCGGGGGCTCAGGCCTACACTGTGTGAGCCCCTTGGCCTCCACTCTCCTGGCACAAGGCTCCTGGCTAGATAATCCCCCTCATGGTCCCTCTGCCTCTGGAAGCGGAGGCCACTTTGGAGGCCTGACGCCTTTGTTTACCAGACGGCCGTCTAGAGCTGCTGAAGCCCGCAGGCCTTAGCTACGAAACTGGCTGATGCAACGGTACTGCGGTACAGCGGCGTGAGACACGAGCGTGTTTTTAAAAACATTTGGTGCTTAATTTTTGGCTTCGGTGTCCCAACCCCTGAGTGTCAGGCCCCTGTTGATGAGCTCGCATCTCATCCCCCTGGATGTGATTAGGCTCCCAGCCCCTGCTGTCTGGCCGCTCAGGATAAAAGACTGCCTCCAGCTGGCCCCACGAGGGGTCGGAGGACAGCTGTGCCAGTGCCCTCTCTCTGGGGCACCCTGAGGCAACGGAACCCAGGGTGGGCCCATGCTGAGCTGACCCTGCCGGGAAGGTGCTGCTTCTCCTGACATGAGAAGGAGTTGCCTTCCTGAGGCTGTCAGTACAACACCTCCCATCCTTTCTCCTCACCAGCAAGGGCTGGAGCCTGCTTAGAGTAGTAAGAAACTGTAATCCTCAATTCCCTTCTTCCCCAAGGGGTCAGCCCTTTCTCCCCTGCTGGGCCCAGGCAGGAGGAGGCAGCATGGAAGAGGCAGCAGAAAGGTTGAGAAGTTCCACTCATTCTCCATAAGCCTGTGTCTGGGGTAAAGACCCCTCACCTAGGGGAGAAAGAACCCACTCCGCTCTTCCAGAACCGGGAAATCCATTTGTCCTTAGAGGAATCGTCTGCCTGCTCAGTCTAGGCGATCCCAGCCGTTCGTCACTGGGCATTACTCATCACTTGCTTGCCAACAGCTCCAGCGTCCCTCTCTAACCTGGCCCTTGCCTTGAGTTTAGAGTCGAATATACAAATGCCCGCTGAGTATTCCACTAGAAGTCTAAGATCGTCTCAACCACAAGTGTCCATGCTGGACCCCCCGGCCTGCACCTCGCTGCTGCTCAGTCTTCCTGTCTCGCTGATGCGCCCACAGGAGCAAAGAACCAGGCACCGTCTTGGGTGCCTTCCTCTGCTTTCCTCCCGAGATTCGTCCCTACCAAATCCTGATGGTTCTGCTCCAAGAACATCTGAAGCCATGCACTTCTCATCTCTGCTGCCACAACCCAGGGAAGCTGCCGTCATCTTGAGCCTGGCTAGTCCCTAAGGAGCTTCCGCTTCCTTCCCTGCACCCTGTGACCCATTCTCTGCACAAAGCCAGAGCAACATTTTATTTTGTTAGTCCCATTCTTACAGTCTTCAGTGGCTCACTATTGCTCTTACAATAACATCCACTTCCCTATGATGGCCTGGGAGACTCTTCGTGATGTGATCTGGCTCCTCTGCCATATTGACCTCATTTCCCAGATCTGCTGGGGGCCTGCCCAGGCTCTGGGCCAGCACTCCTGAGCCCCTGTTCACTGCTGTCCAGCTCAGTGCCCTTCCCTGCCACAGGGCCTTTGCTCTGGTCCTCTCTAGAACGTTCTTCTTGGGGCCACCCCATTCTCATCCTTTGGGTCTTTGCTCAAATGTCACCTCCTCAGAGAGGCATTTGAGGCAGAGGCTACTGATCACTGGCCACTCTTGTTGTTGTCCTGTTGGTAACTGAACCCC